CTTTTCCACTGCAAAAGTTCTCACATACCAGAAAATGAGTCAAAATCCTATCATGTCTATGGTAGCAATATCAAATTACTGTCCTATTATACTAAAGGTGATACATTACAGAAACTGTCAGGGTACTAGACCTTGAGCTAATAAACATTAATGTCAGAAAAGTGAAAAAGAAAGTCCCAGAAGATAGGCACGGATGCAATTAAGTCATAAAATTGATATGAATACACTGACAGTCTGATGGCCTCTTTCTCCTAAAAAACAAAAGTCAGAGTCACTTGATGAAAAGGAGAAAGGATAAGAAGTCTAGGATTCATAGTTAATAAAAAAGTTCAAGTAATACTGTATAAGTTTTATAATAGTGAAGTGACAGAGGAGAAAGAGGTATTATAATGACCACACACAATAAAGACCTTGTTCCATTTTTATCTGCCTGTTTGTATTGCTGGATATCCAGAGTTCAGTTTCCATCAACCAAGGGATTTTGACGATGTATAGAAATATAAGGGAAAAAACAGACACAAAGACAGTAGGCAGTAGGCAGTATGGGGAAGGAGAAAGTAGATGGTCTATGTACTGGCGGCTGCAATGGTTAGAGAAAACAAATGGAGTGGGAATTCTTCAAAAGTGTGCTAGACTGATTGATGGTGGTTAAGTTGTGTATGGGACAGCTGTACTTGGACCTTGGAGGTCCTATGGTATGAGGTGACCAGGGCAGAAGGTGGCCAGTGGGATACAGTGATGAGGCAGTCAAGGAATAGGAGCCCAAGAACAAGAGGCTAGAATCTGTCTCCACACTTAGACAACAACTGCACTATCATAAACAGTCTAATATAATTATTTTGGAATTCTGAAGTCTCTTCAAAATCTTGTACCTTCCAGGTAAATTCTTTTCCAGTAAATTGTGATTAATTTTGATTCTTTTAAGCCAATAGCACTGTAGCAGCTACTCATTCTTCCACTCCACAGCTCCATACTAGGTGGTCATACTAACATTCCTGCAGTGGCCTACAGGAGGTCTGGGGAGGCAATACAGACATAGTCCTCAGAATATTAGGGATTTGTGTTCTGATGACTGTCAGTTAAAAATCTTAACCCCAGCAGCAATTTATAGATCCACCCAATGTTCAACACTTAGAATTCTTAATTTCTATAGGTAGTTGGCATAAAATTTCATGTGTTCTGCATTGCATTCCTTGATCATTAACAGAACCAAATGTGTTTTTCCTTTTCAATGAAATGCTTCTTTTGTATCTTGTCCTTTACTTATTAATCAATAGATGTTATTCATATATTCTTGATGCCAATTCCTTGTTGGTCATGCATTGTAAATATGTCATGTTTATAACGTATCATTTGATTTTCTTTCATTTGTACTTTGATAAGTAGAGATTAATTTGAGTAAAGTAAAATTTTTTCCTCTTATAAGTGCATCTAATGTCTTAAAGCAGTTAGGCATCTTAAAGAATTCCCAGGTCAAAACTGGAAAGTACTAATCTATGTATCAATTTCCAATTACTTTAAAGCTATTTAACGCAATTTTTATTTTACTAAGATAACTGACATAACATTATACTGATTTCAGGAATATAATGTAATGATTTGATAGCTGTATAGTGCAAAAGAATCACAATAAGTCTAGTTAACATCTGTCAACAGTTACAAAATTATTTTTTCTTTTCATGAGGAATTTCAAGATTTACTAACATTGTCAGCAATTTTAAAATATGCAAAACACTATTATCCATAGCCACCACTGTGTATATTATATACCCATGACTTTTATGCTAAAATTGTAGGTTTGTACATTTTGAAACCCCTTAAGACATTTCACCAAATTCCCAACTCCTGGCTCTAGCAACCACCAATCAGATCTCTGTACTTAAGAGCTTTTCTTTGTTTTTGTTTGAATTCCACGTGTAACTGAGATCATATATTATTTGTGTGCCTCTGACTTATTTCACTCAGCATTAATGTCCACAAGGTCCAGCAGCGCCAGATTTTATTGACTAAATAGTATTCCATTTTATATATATGGTGTGTATATATGTATACACATGAATACATATGCACACACATATTAATATACATACACAAATTACATCTACTTTATAAATCATCCATCAATGAACACTTAAGTTGTACCACATCTTGGCTATGTATACAACTCTGCAATAAATATGTGGTGATTTAACTTCCTGAATTAGTGTTAAAATTTCAGAAGGAGGATTCACTGGATCATATGGTGATTCTATTCTTAATTTTCTGAGGAAACTTTGTACTGTTTTTCACTGTGGCTGTACCAATTTACCTTCTTACCAGTAGATTATGAGGGTTGCTTCTTCCCCACAACCTCTACAACACTTGTTGTTACTTGTCCTGTTGATGATATCCATTCTAACAGGTGTGAGGTAGTTGTGGTTTTGATTTGCATTTCCCTAACAGCTAGTGAAGTTGAGCATCTTTCCGTATGCCTGTTGGCCACTTGTGTCTCTTCTTGGATGAAGTGTGTTCTTTTTAATTGCATTTTTTATTGCCTGTGTCCATGAGTTGCTGTCTTGTTCATTTGTTGCTGTGTTTTATATCCCCATGTGAGTAAAACCATAGGGTCTCTACTTCTTCTGACTTTTCGCTTAGCATGATAATCTTATGATCTAACCATGTTGTCCCAAATGGCACTATTTCATCTTTTCTTAAGGCTAATATTCCATTGTATGCAGGTATATATTCTTTATCCAATCATCTATCAAAAAACTCTGGTTGCTTCCATGTCTTGCCCACCACGAATAATGCTCCTATAAGCATCAGATTGCACACTATCTTTATCTACTATCACTATCCTTTTCATACTATCATTATCTTTATGGATGAATGTTTTCAATTTTGTGGGGTAGACACCAGACGAGGGATTGCTGGATCATCTGGTTATTCTATTAATTATCCGATGAAACTTCATACTGTTTTCCATAGTGGCTGTATCAATTTATAATCCCGCCAGCAGGTATGGTGGGATTTTTCCAACTACCCCAACACTTATTATTTGTTCTGTCGATGACAGCCATTCTAACAGGTGTAAGGTGGTATCTCATTTTGCATTTCCCTGGTATTTCAATTTGCATTTCTCTGATTAGTGACGTAGAGCATCTTTTCTTGTATCTTTTGGCCATCTGTATGCTTCCTTGAAAAAATGTCTATTCAGCTCACTTCGTAAGTTACATAAATGCCTAACCACTATGTTGTACACCTGAATCTAACATAGAATGTCAACTATAACCAAAATAATAACAAAAATAGAACAAAATAAACAAAAAAAATGTCTTCAGATAACCTGCTCATTTTTAATTGAACTGCTGGTAGGTTTGGAGTATTTCTGCTATTAAGTTGTATGAGTTTTTATGTATTTTTATATTATCCTTTTCAGGTACATGATTTGCAAACACTTTTTCCCATTCAATAGGTTTCCTTTTCATTTTATTGATCATTTCTTCTGGTGAGCAAAAGCTTTTAGTTTGATGAAGTCATTTGTCTTTCTTTTTTCCCTTGTTTTTAAAAGATATATCCAAAAAAAATCAAAGCCAAAACCAGCATCAAGAAGCTTACTGTTTTCTTCCAGGAATTTTATCATTTCAGGTCTTACATTCTTTTACTCATTTTGCATTCCTTTTTAAAAGTGTATGAGTCTAATTTCATTCTTTGCCTGTGGTTGTCCAATTTTCCAAACACCAATTATCAGACCGTACTTTCCCCGTTGCACATTCTTGCCTTCTCTGTCATATATCACTTGATCATGTATGCACAAGATTATTTCTAGGCTATTTCATTGATCTACGTGTTAAGTGATATGTGTTGATTACTATAGCTTTGTAATATAGTATGAAATCAGGGAGTGTGATGCCTCCAGTGTTGCTTTTCTTTTGTTATATTTCTTGGGCAACTTGGGGTTTTTTGTAGTTCCAGACTAATTTTAGGATTATTTTAATTTCTGTGAAAATGACTCTGGAATTTTGGTAGGAACTGTATTAAATCTATAGATTGTTTGTAGTAGTAAAGACGTTTTGAAAATATTAATTCTCCCATCCATGAGAACAAAATTTCTTTCCATTTACATGTCTCCTTCAAATTCTTTTATCAATGTCTTACAGTTGTCAGTGTACAGGTCTTTTACTTTATTATTCAATTTATTATTCAGTTTTTGTGGTTTGATAACTTTCTTTAAAGGTATTCTTAAGTTCCTTTTTAATTATATTTGCATATCTACTATAGATTTTCGTTTAATGATTACCATGAGCTTTATATAAAACCTGTATTTAGTAGTCTATTTAGGTTGATAAGCTTAAATGCATTCTAAAATTTTATATTTTACTCTACCCTACATTTTATATTTTTTGTCACATTAAATATCATTTATCTTATGTATCTCTTCAACTAATTATTACAGTAATAGTTCTTTTTTACTACTTTTGTCTTTTAAGCTTCATACTACCTCTATTTGTAATTGATCCACTACCTTTCATAAATACTTACCTTTACCAGTGAGGTTTATATTTTCACTTTTTTTTTTTTTTTGTAGCTAATTATAGCCATTTCTTTGCAGTGGGAAAAAGTCCCTTTAACATTTCTTGTAAGGATGGTTTAGGGGTGATAAATTCATTTACTTTTTGTCTGTCTGGAAAACTCTTTTATCTCTCCTTCAATTCTGAGTAGTTAACTTTGCCAATAGTGTGTTCTTGGTTAGAAGGTTTTTGTTTCCTTTCAGTACTTTTATTTGCCACTCCTTTCTGGCATGCAAAGTTTCTGCTAAAAAAAAACAACAACCTGCTGATAGTCTAAATAAGGTTCCTTCATATATAACAAGTTGTTTTTCTGCTTTTTATTCTGTCTTTAAATTTTTGATGTTTTAAGTAGAAAGTGTCTTGCTGTGGGTTTTGTGTTGCATCTTTTTTCGAATTCTCTGTACTTCCTGGATCTGGAAATATGCTTCTTCTTCCAGGTTAAGAAAAATTTCAGCCATTCTTCTTCAAATAAATTCTCTGCCCTTTTCTCTCTCTCTTCACCTTATAGGTGCCCCCTCCTCCCATGCTACTATTACTCCAGCTGGTGTTGTTCTTTATGTTTCTTAGGCTATCTTCATTTTTTTAATTAAAAATTATTGGGCTGACATTTTTATTCTTTATTTTTGCTGCTGAGTCAAGGTAAGTTCCTCTGTGCTGTCTTCAAGTACAATGACCCTTCTCCCACTCTGCCTACTTTGTTGCTGAACTCCTTTAGTGAACTTTTCTGTGCTGTTACTGTATTCTTCGGTTCTGTCATCTGACTAGTACTTTCTTATATTTTTACGTCTTTGTTGAAGTTCCCAATGTGTTCAACCATTCTTCTCCAGAGTTTAGTGAGCATCTTCCTGACCATTATTTGAAATCTTCATTATGCAAATACATCCATTTCATTAAGGGATTTTCTGAGGTTTTACTTTGTTCTTTTGCTAAAAATATATTATTTTATTTCCTCATTTTGGTATTTTTTTTCCTCTTAGGATCAAACAAGCACTTCTCCCAGTCTTGAGAAGAAATGGCCGCATGGAAGAGATGAACCCATTGTTCAAGCTTGCCCAAGATACTGCTTGTTTCTTGAAACTTTCTGAGTGTCTAAGCAGCCTATTTTATTTTTACTAGCTCCAGTTATTACAGGTGTCCCAAGATCTGTCACTGTCCCCAAGGAAGAGAGGGGAAGAATCTCAGTCAGGACCTAAAAGATGCCAGACCCTCAAATCAACATCTTTTTCTTTTTCTTTCTTTTTTTTTTGTCTTCTTTTGCTACTACTGCTCATCTGATTTTCATCACGTGGCTATACCACTAAACACTGGCTTCCTTATCTAAAGGTAGCATTCCTTTTCCTGAGGCCATCATTCTAACAACACTGAGTGTGGCTATCTTTGCATTTGGACAGTTCTAGGCCATTTCACTGATGCTCAGGGGTTCCTGCTTCTCACAATATATGAGAAAGTGACAGGCTACATAGTGAGATATACATGCACCACTTGAAGGAATAGTAACTATAACTGTTCCAGCTCTAAGAGCCATTTATTGACAAACATGTCAAAAATGTTTATGACATAGAATAGTTACTTTAATAAAATGAAAATACACAAAAGTTGTCAGAAATACTTCATATGAACATTCAACAAAACACAAGATTTTTAGCATTTACATTAAAACTAAGTATTCTATAGATTTCCCAAAGTGTTCTGCAGAGGGTCTTTCTCATTCTTTTCTTTTAAAACAATGGCAAGGTTTCCATGTTGACAGTGCATCTATAAGCTCAGAAAAATAATGCTACTTGAAATATTACAAGCCAGAACAAATTCTTTTATGAGTTAACGTATTTGTAAGATAGAAAAGGAAAAAATGCCTAGCATATACAAGTAAATATTTCCTGAGAAACAGTATTTTTTTCCAGACTTTCATGCACAAATCACAATTTCAGTCAAAACTGTTAAAGTTTTTATATTCTTTATATTCTTTTGCATCTAGAATTTCTGGATTTAAACATACTAATCACTAACTCCAACTGACAGGCATATGAACATACAAATGAAAATGCTAACATAGAAATGCTGAGGCTGACTGAGTTTTAGGAGATCTATTTCACATCTCAGAAAGCACTGTAATGCTGTACGTATCATATCCTAAAAAAAGGCCAAACAATAAACATAAGTCCTAAGAAAAATATTATCCCTTCGATTCTGTAATAACATGTAGTTTTACATTTAAAAATACATTGAATTTATATTTTAAAAGTTTATCAAGCACAAGCATACACTGCTGTATTTTATATGGACCATACTCCCTTAATACTCACGAGATCAGCGTATTTCTTACAGAGAGCTGCCAGCTTCTCCTCTGGAGTTGAAAGAGTATTTAAGGCTTGCATCAATAATAATACTTCTTTTCCTGATGATGAATAAGATAAAAAAAATGTTCCAGAAGATAAAATTAATTCCATCTGTAAATTCTGCATAAAACTTATATTCAGATATCAGGAGTATAATCTAAGGCTATAAATAGATATAATTACCTGCTAAATTAGAGAACTATTTTTCAAATTATGATTTAGTAGTCCCCCACCCCCAAATTTCTTCATTTACCAACTGACAGTGCTATTAGCTAATTGACATTTAAGCAGTTAAGAACATTTATTGAAAAATTAAAAATATTTGCCTAAAATATTGATTCCAAGTTAAAATACTTTACAAAGAGTGGGAATGTTTTTAAAAGCTTCCTCTTATCCAAGTACCAATACACAAAGATGACCAAATCTGTTCCGCTAGAACACTCTGCTTATTAAATGTGCATAATCTTGTGTGACAATTTGAATTATGACTATATTTTATTTACTAAGCATATTCTGGGTGTTAATCAAGTATAATGCCAAGACAAGTTAAGTCAAATTAGCTTTTTCCTCAAGTAAAGAGTTTAAAAAAAAATACTTTAGCACTCTGGCAAGGATCAATCTGGCTAACACAGGTCACTCCCCCATCCAAGTGAAGCCCTGAAACCCCACCCCACCCAACTTGTGGGCCCAACCAGGTTGGTTCCAGTGGCTTTTCCATACAGAAGGCGTGTCTTGCCTCATGCTGCAAACTTTTCTAAAATCTCTCAAAGATTCACAAAACCTGAATAAGCAGCATCTGGCTTCTTCTGCATGCCCCATATTCCTTACTGAGCAGCCTCCAGACCAGTATTAATAACAATCAGTCAGGGTTTGCATCTTAGCTTCCCTCAGGCACCTCCAAGCCCATCACAAGCAGCAACCACTTGCAGATCACTTCGTAGCTCACATCAAGTGACTCTGGGTCAGGCAGAAGCAATGGCTGTCCTCGGTCTGCACAGAAGCCCCTTCCAAGTGGCTCCAGAATTCAGACACAATCACTTCCAAAAATGACACACCCACAAGGCAGACAGGTAAGGCACCAGACCCTGCTAAAGCAAATCCTGCTCTGTAGGCTCATCTCCTGACAATAGCTCCTCTACCAGTGTTTACAACTAATCAGCCTAAGGGTCAAATCTTCCCATTGATGGGCAAACAGCAGCCAAGGCTCAACTACAATAGGAGGGAATACACAGCCCACACAAGGGACACACCTAGAAAACACGGCTCAGGTGACCAGGGAGACTGCACCACTAAGTTTCATGGAACGCTTACTACATAAAGCTACTGAGACCAGGAGATAAAAAAAAAAAAGCTCTACCTAATACACAGAAACAAACACAAGGAGCAGACTAAAATAGGTAGAGAAGCATGTCCTAAATGAAAAAAAGGGAACAAAGCTCCAGGGAAAAAACCAAACACAATGAAGTCAAGGAATCTACCAGATGTAGAGTTCAAAACATTGGTTATAAAAATGCCCAAGGAACTCAACAAGGACTTTAGGGAACATAAAAATAAAGACAGAAAACACAAAAAAGGATCAGTCAGAAATGAAAAATACAATAAACAGAAATGAAAAAAAATCAGAAGAAATAAACAGTAGATTAGATGAAGCAGAGCATCGAATCAACAATTTGGAAGATAAGGCAGCAGAAAACACCTAATCAAAACAGCAACAAAAAAAAATCAAAGAAAATGAGGATAGTTTAAGGGGCCTTTGCGACAACATCAAGCATAACAATATTCACACCACAGGGATGCCAGAATGAGACAAGAAAACAAAGAACTGAAAACCTATCTGAAGAAATAATAATGAAAAACTTCCCTAATCTGGCGAAGTAAATAGACATACAAACCTGAGAAGGGCAGAGTCCCAAACAAGGTGAACCAAAAGAGGCCCACACCAAGACACATCGTAATTAAAAAGCAAAGGTTAAAGACAAAGAATCTTAAAAGCAGCAAGAGAAAAGCAGTTAGTTACCTACGAAGGAGCTCCCACAAAATAGGCAGCTGATTTCTCAAGAGAAACTTTGCAGGACAGAAGGGCTTGGCACAAAATATACAGTGATGTAAAGCATGGACCTGCAGCTAAGGTACTCTACTCAGCAAGGCTATTATTTAGAATTGAAAGACAAAGACCTTCCCACACGAGAAAAGGCTAAAGGAGTTCATTGCTATCAAACCAGTACTACAAGAAATGTTTTAAAAAATAGCAGGAGGGAAATATAAATATTAACAGTAAAATGGCAATAATAATGGCAAAAATACCTAATAATAATCACTTGTATTTAAATGGATTAAAGGTTCTAATCAAAAGACATAGAGTAGCTGAACAGGTAGGAAAACAAGACCCTTCCTTACATATGCTGTCTGTAAAAGACTCACTGCAGATCAAAAAGGCACACATTGTCAAGGTATGGAACAGATATTGCATGAAAATAGAAATAAAATTAAAAGCTAGGGTAGCAATACTTATATCAGACAAGAGACTTAAAAAAAAAAAAAAAAAAGACTATAGCAAGAGACAAGGAAGGACTAGTAATTCCACCATATTTACCCGAAGAAACTCGAAACATTATTTCAAAGAGACATGTTCATCTCAGTTCACTGCAGCATTATTTACAGTACCCAAGATATGGGGGCAACCTGTGTGTCCATCAATGGATTAATGCTTAAAAAAGAGGTAGTTCATATATACAATGGAATATTACTCAGCTATAATAAAAGAATGAAATCTTGCCATCTGCAACAACATGAATAGACCTAAGGAGGATGAAATAAGTCAAGACAAAGACCAATGCTATATGATTTCATTTGCAAGTAGAATCTAAAAAACAAAACAAACAAAACAAACAATCTCGTAGATACAGAGAACATTCTGATGGTTACCAGACTTGGGGTGATCGGTGAAGGAAGAGAAGAGGAGGTACAACTTGGTAGCTACTAAATAGTCCTGGAGATGTAGAGTATAGCATGGGGAATACAGTCCATAGTATTGTAAAAATTATGTATGGTGCCAGAGTTATCAGTGTGATCACTTTAAAAGTTATATAAATGTCTAACCATTGTGTTGTACACCTGATACTAATATAATATTGTATGTCAAATGTAACCGAAAAAGAAATTTTAATATAAAAAATTATAACATTACATAAACTATCAATACAACAATTCAGTACTAAATAGCAGGAACTTTTATTATTTTATTTAAAAAATTTCCTGCATAAAAAAAATACCAGTTTTGAAGAAGCAAGTGGCTCAGGCAAATGAGGGAAAATGGTACTTCAAAGTAAGTGATAATGTTTTATTTCTTGCTTTGGGGACAGGTATTCATTTATTTGCTAAAATGTTCAGTCTTGTGAACGAAATGAAACATTTCGTTTTCTAAAATATGAAGAAAAGTTTCTTATTTGGTATATTTTATAAACTGCCCTGAGTGGAGTGAGGAACAGGCTGACTTCAAAAAGAATATTTCATGTGCATGTAAAATTTTAGTACTACAACCTTTTTCATTAAATTCAAGTCCAAATAAAAGAGAAAAATATAATTTCTGGTGTAAGAAATAACAGTACACTGCACTTTTCTGAAGACTTTAAACTCTAAACATTTTAAACTAAACATTTTTAATTTGAAGCATTATTTTATACAGTACTGGGGCTATCATTTCTGAAAGTATTTGTCTTACTTGCAAAAAATTATAAATACTTTTCATATTCCTATAAATTTTTAAGTCTTCCAGGGTAGCAGAAAATTAATTAAGAAAAAAAAGAGTTATAATCATGTACAGAAGTCACTCAAATCAGACAAGGTAAATGTTATGTGTAATAGAAATAAAAAACAGGAGCAATTGGTGAGGCAAAATAAGAGTTTCAGATTTATGAAACTTGAGAGCACATTCTTAGGCCTAATTGTCAAACTAACAGAGCAGAAGGGAGGAAAACATACCCTGAAATCCAGTCTTATTAACCTACCTTCTAAACAAAAGACAACATATATCATTTCCGAATTTCAATCAATATTCTTTAAATAAGCTGAGCTAATATGTTTTAACAGTGATTATTGATTGGACTACCTTTTAAAAGATCAAACAACCAGGGAAATGAAATACCACTTCCTTCAAACTTGCCACAAATGTTTTCAGGACGAACCATTCTTGATTATCCTGAGAGAAATAACTAAGGTTCCTATAATTAGTCCTTCTTACACTGACATTTCCACCTCCTGCATATAACTGCAATAGACAGGTATAATGACCTGACCAGAGAAAATAGATGAATTAGCCAAACAGCATCTATCTCAAAACTGGCTATGTTCCATAATCACCTGTACTGCAAGAAATATTAGTGAAATGAGTAACATGTAAAAATGTCCAACCACTGAGCAGAGATTTTTACCTAAGGTTTTTCCTTTGTTCTTGTTGCACTCTGAATCCTGTTGACTATCAGAGGGATCAGTTCCAGCTTCTGGCCCAGAAGGTTCCTCTCTCGACTCCTGTGTGCTGTACAGTGGACTCACCAAACTCCTGTTCTTTGCTATAAAGTCACTGCTTTCCTTCTCTTCCAGTGAATGTTTGTTACTTGTGCCAACAGGATTTGAATCATGACATTGAAGATGATCCTTTGGTTGAGAGTTACGCAGCATATCTGCTTTTACTCCTATCCTGCAAATTCTAGATTCTTCCATTGTGCCAATCACAAGCTAGAAAAAATGTGGAGAAAAAATAGAGGAAGGGGTTAAATCAAATGTAATCAAGAGAGGAAAACTATGTAATGGAAAAAAATAGTTTTCCATTTCACTCTGTCCATGTTTTAATGTACTTTTTCCTTCCTATACCTGGAACAGTCAAAAGGCATGTAATTATGAGTTTTTCCCCCTTTAATAGTGGTTTTTAAAATAACACTTTTTGGAACCAAAGGAGAGAAAGGGACAGCGGAGACTACCATTAAGGTGGAATAGATAACTACAAGCCTCTGTCCCTCCAAAACTAATTGGTGGCAGAATCTATCACAATCAAATTCTGCAGAACTCTGGAAATCTTGTAAAAACTTAAAACATAAATTAAAAACTTATAGCCCAAATGGAAGGCTTAGTGACTAAAAAAGCAGCTGCTCTGCAGTAGAGCAGAAGAGCACTGTGGGATTTCAAATTTCCTACCTGTCATTTCTTATATCCATGACCAAATAGAACCAAAAGGCCAAACACAGTCATCCTAATATTGAGAATAGAGGAACTCATACTTTTGTGACTCTGTTGGAAACTGCCCATCTGGTTCTGTGGGGGGAAAAGCTTTTGGGGCACACAAACTCTAGTGATGCCCTTCTGCTACAAGTCTCTCTGATAAAGATAAGCCAAGAGCAGCTTGCCTTTAGGGTCTTGTAAACACTGAGCAGCTAATCCACACAGCCCTCCAGTTCTGGCCTGATACTCTCTTTTTGGGTTAGGTCAACTCAGTCCTAAAAGCTTCATTTGTCAAATCGAAATGGGTTGGTCAAGAATTTAGCCTACCAGTCCCAAGAGCACCTCAACTTTACATAAAATATCTGCTATTGTTTTGCACATCTGTTGCCTAAAGTCATTGCCCAGAAGAATTCACAGAGGCTCTCTAAATACCTGGGTCTAATTTACTGATGGTTCAATTAAGCTGAAATCCAATAGTGTCCCATTGGTTGCTGTCATGCTTTGCCACAGTAGCACTTCTGAAGAACCAAAAATGAATACAGCTGCTCTCCTGGGTGAGTAGAATGCATTTCTCATTGCTCTCACCTATACTCTCACTGATAAACCCTGTTACAGCCTACCTGTGTAGTCTATATAGGAAACTATATAGACTAGTAGATTTAAACTTCCCTCTTTAGCACCACAAACTAGAGAAATAAATTGCAGCTACTAAATGAAATCATCTGGGTCATTCACATAGATACCCACACTGAGTGAAACCTAGCTACTGATTAAGCCTCCACCATCCACTGCCATGATTGCTAGTTTGACTGCAGTCATTACATTAATTGTGACTCCATGTCCACCAACACAAACTGGGAATAAAGTAAAGAATTCTTCATTTTTGATGCAGAGTATCACTGCATGCTAGGCTTGTGACATGCTAAAAGTTGACCCAGCTATCTCCAGCTTGAGAAGGGCATTGACTTCACCTTATCCTGGAAATGTGAGGACACCTGACCCTTGAAACATTCTCAAGGCTACTGGTCATGGCTACCTCATTGCTGAAAAGCATTTCAGATTAGGGGGTGCCGTTCCACTCCAATTAGCTGACTCTGGCCATACCACTGTAGACCTTCAGAACTAATCTGTCATGTGATCAGCCTGCAGAATAATCTGCAGTCTGAAAATGGTACACCTTTTACCAAAAATGCCACTAAAAATAGGGTGATAGTCAAGGTACTATGGACTGACCATACTCCCTATCATCAATTCCCGAGAATCTGCTGTTAAGCATTAGGACTGCCCCTCAATGATAGACACAAAAATATTCCCAATATTACATACCTCCCTCAGCTTCTTACCCACACACCCTAGGAAAGGAAAGATGTCTGGACTGCTGAATGCAGTTGTCCCAAGAAAAGAATCATCTACCTAAGCTTCTTCCTGGGTAATGATCAGGGACAAAAGGGGTCCTGGGTTATATAAACCCATTTTGATATTTCAATATTATCTTTCAAAAACATTCCAAGAAACTGAACTATTGTTAGGCTGATATTTCTTTTCACCAGCAACAAAATCATGTCAGCTCACATGGCACACTGTCCAAGTGCAAAATAAGACCTTAAAGGATTCAAATTTTGGTTCACTATCTGGATCCTTTTGTGAGACTGACACGGTCCTCGATCAGAGGATAACTACTTGCTGAGTACACTGCCCACAGAGTCTCTTTACGGTGGCCCATGCATATCAAGGCAGAAAACATAACATATTTCTTCAAGGTTTATAAAAATTCCCTCATTCCTCTGACTTTTCTGGACAAAAGGACTGCTGTGAGTAGGGGATGAATGAACAAAAGGTAAAGTCATACATTGAAACAGAGGCTCTTGAGAGTTAAAAAATTTAGGCACTGGAGAACATCGATCACCTGTGTCTCAAAACTTCCCATGGAGCATTGCTCATTTAAAAAAAAAAAATTCTATTGTGGTTCTCAAAAACTGTTGCAAGCACCTCAGATTTAACAGATCTCTGAATCTGTCTTCCAGCCAGACAGCTCAGATGACAATCTGGTTGCTTCTCAAATGTAAAAGAGCTGTGGATGTCTCAGGTCCTGAATCTCCCAAATAAAAACACTATCAACATCACAGAATATCTCCCCCATCCTCCTCCTTCTATCTAGTCATTGCTAAGTCATTCCAGGGGTAGATGAATGCCATCAAGCTGGTGTCACTGACAGGCATGATATACTGGATGGAGCACCCTCAGGCAGGCCTTTCAAAAAGGATTCAGTTACTCAGCTTACTAAGGCTTACAGTTGGCTAAGGTGCCATGCTGTAAAGCATGGGTTCCCAACCCTCAGGCCACAGACCAGTACCAGTCCGTGGATTGTTAGGAACAGGCCACACAGCAGGAAGTGAGCTTCATCTGTATTTGCAATAATTCCCCAGCACCAGCATCACTGCCTCAACTCCTTCTCAGATTCTCAGGTATTAGATTCTCATAGAAACATCAGGCCCTGGTGTCAAAAAGGTTGGGGACCACACCACTGTGAAGCATTTTAAACCTCTGCCAACTTGGAAGCAATGAATTTTGGAAAATCTCAGCTACCATGACTTTGGTAGCTTCCTAGAACTTAAGACTTTTCTAATGAAGCTGATGTTGATATTAAGACACTGATTTTTTAATACTATACTACATCTGGAATATCTATACCACTCAGTGAGTGAATCAATATTTTACAAATGACAATGCCCCACAAAATGACTGAAAGGTACAAGATCCACTTAAAGTATATAACAGACCATTGGATTTTAACATTAATACGTTAGAACAAGTTCATTAATTGTGTTTAAGATTCCACATTGGAATCCTCAGTAATTTTTAAGTAAAGTTTAATCAGTAAAACAGAGGCATGTTTAAATAAATTCTTCAGCCAAAACCTTTGAGAACTACTGCCCTGAGTATAACAAGGATAAAGACAGGGAGACAGAAGAAATAAAGACCTGGTCTAAGAGCAGTCCACACCTTAAGTATCAGGCATATCCAACTTTAGAGAAAATGCCCTGTGACTAGGTAGAACAGAGAGAAAAGCAACTTTTCCTTTTTGGTCAACAGTAACTAATAAATAGGTCTCTGTTTGTTAAATGATTAGTTTATCAAATCGATACAATCCAAATGTGTGAGAATATAATCTTCAGAAATATCTTCTAAACAGCTGTGATAAACAAACACCACAGGGATAAGCTAATTTTAACAAGTCTGTCCAAGGGCAACAACCAAAGATATGAAAAAATGAATTATTATCACTGTCTTTAATAGTCCAAAGAGTATGTCCTTCAGAGCAATAATGGAGTTCTGATTGATATTAAGATAGAGAGAATATAACATTTGAGGACTGCAAATATTATCTGTTAGCAGTCAAAGGACCTAGAGTAACTGATGAAGTAGATTAAAGTATACACAGAGGCTATAATAAGTAAGTACATAAGAGTTGAGTAACCAGCGCTAAACTTAGGGCTGATAAAAATCTCATTTTCTCCACCAGTGAAGAAGCCAGGAATAAACGAAATGGTTTGGAAAACAGATAGTTATAAAGCTGTCTTGTTTTCAGTTTCACAAGTTCCATAGTAGTAGTATAGATACTAGATTCTACACTAGTAGATTCTAAAATGGTAGCATATTAGACCATCTACATTTTTTGCCTTTTAAAACGAGCACAAATGATAACATTTCCGATCTAACATCTGTGATTATTTTATCTATAAAACCACAAGAGGCTAAAAATTACATCTAATTCTAACTGTAATTCAATGATTATTTGCAATCTGAGAGATATATGCACAAGTCTAAACACTGATCTTGGCAGCAAAATGATCAGGAAATCCAAAGATTTTAATGTCTACTGAAATATGCAGAGGAGTAGGGGCTAGGCCATACTATTACCATCTTTATGCCACAGACTCCTAAATGTAAAATGATCCTCTACTTTTATGAGACAGCTAAGTGCAAATATCTGTTCCAATCTTGTAAAGTCACCCTTCCCCACCTCCATGTAGAACAATCATGATGCACCTTTGAAACAGTCTTCTCTTTTTAATTGTACTACTTTCCCAGGGCAGCCCATTAACATTTGTTAACACTATGTTGTGTGGACTTTAACAGATGTTGAAATGGATCTCTCTACTTGACAGTTTAAACAACTGGCAGCCTAATTCCACTAACCCTGAAATTTTTCAATTACACTGGAGGGATTTCCAGGTTACAATGGATTGACTACTTTGCAGGGATCTGCAGTATAGAACACCTCCCAAATCACGTGTCTTAAAGCAATTGAGGGCCAAATGAATAAAACAATAAGTATGAAGCCTAGAAGACTGTCTACTGATCTAGTGAAGAGATTTTCTGGTACCTCCTAATCACTGAATCCAACCCTTAATAATTTATTTTCATTTAGCAAAAGCTTATTCATTTACCTACCACCAATTTTTGCTCATATTCAATAAGCTTATTTTGGCCCTCTACTCTTTTCAACAATTGTGCTA